GTACATGAGCAATGAATTTTCCGGATTATTACGCAGGAATGAGAGTATAGTTCCTAGTCATATCAGCCTAGAGAATCGCAACTTTACATTTTCTGTCTGTCTTAGTGCACAATGTTACTATAGTAGAGGAAAAATATCAAAAAAGAGGAAAAATATCAAAACACTTTGATAATTTTTTGGGGAGAAATGCTAATGGTCTTGTGCACTTCAATGATGTATGCTAAGCTATGCTAAAAGTGGTACCGCCAGAACCTGAGATCGTTTGAATGGATTCAAAAAAGGTAAAACTCAACAGTTTAACTCTGGGGGAGTTGTAAAATGAGCCTATTTCCCCAAAAAAAGTGGAGTATCCCTTTAATATAAGATTGAAGGTATGGAGGAAGCAGACCAAGAATGGCTTTATAAATAAGAATGTTCCAGTTATTAAGCCTACGGGTGGACAGACCAACCAACCCGATCATACAATGATAGGTAAGTGCTCTAAAGTTTGTGATGAACCTAAGGGCTCCGTGGTAAACAGTATCCAAGAATTTCAAACATTAAATGGATGCATGCATGTATATAACATCACCGTAGTCCAGCACTGACATGAAAGTGGCAAATACAAGGACGTACTTTACTTTATAAGACTAGAAATGAAACACATGTGGTGCCTTGACTTTGCCCTGCATCTGACCTAATTCCAGAAATCACACTTAGCAGATCTCCGAGGTGTTTCATTGTACATCTATCAAACTTCAGAGTCTTATCAGCTTTGCTGTTCTACTTTGCCATTTCATCCTCCGGAAAGAAGTGGTGGTCAGCGGTAGTAACAACTTACACTGTGCCCCAGCAAGACCATGCAGGCCTTTACATCTAATATCCGCAGGGCTTTGGCCTCAGTGTGACAGTCTCTGGGCTGAGCACTGATTCACTTTTTCCCTGCTGATATTTCCATCTCGGCTGCTATCAGTTAATGAGAGTCAGACTGTGGTTCTGCACCTGCGGAGAGCTGCCGAATCAATCTGGAGGATTGCTGGACTACAAAGTGATCTTCAGTACCACGGACAGAGATTCAATAATCAGTCTACAGCCTCATCTGTCCCGACTGAGTCAAAGGAGCATTATGCTGAACAACTCATTTAAATACTGTAATGACATTTCACACAGGTAACAGAATTACATTGCTGTAATGGATAAAGGCATAAGCACTCCTTTTCAGTGGCGGTAAACTTTATATTTAACAGGATGATTTAGCAGTCATGCATTATTATTCATGAAACGATGATGAAATATTATTGGATGGATGGATGGATGGTTGAAGAACAGTTGACAGATAGAATAGATGATGGATGAACAACTGATAGAAAGAATGGATGGATTGATAGATAGCGTGTTTCTTCATGAACTGCATCTTTTAAACAACGCAGACATCATGTGCAAATAAACGCAATTGGCGGATACAATTCATTCTCAGTGATTTCCCCCTTAGACCTTGGAGTCTGGCATTTATCAGTTCTGTTTTAAGATGAGCAATTTGCAGCCAGTGAAATAATAGCTTTAAGAATTATTTGAAGTATTGCTCTGCGAAGAAACCAGAGATGAAATAGTCAGCCTTGAGATATTATGATATTAGCAAAGGGTATTGCTTTCTTTAACAGAGAGAAAAAAAAAATACGGCTGCAAGAATCCTCAACAACACAGCTTATTTTTTAATAAGAGTCTTATTACAAACACTTGAGTGAATATTAAGAGCAGTGCAACAGATCCACACACAGTGATGTGCGATCGTATTGGGGAACATGTCTTGTACTTATATTAGTGTCTGCCTGCGGATATAAAAGAACACCGGCGGCTGGCCTCTTTGCTTTCTTGCAACTCAAATTTAGTCAGAAATCATTAAAGGAGCAGTTCACTTAAAAAAAAAAAAAAAAAAAAAAAAAACGTTTGCTGATAATTTACTCACCCCCATGTCATCCAAGACGTCCATGTCTTTCTTTCTTCAGTTGAAGAGAAATTCAGTTTTTGATGAAAACATTCCAGGATGTTTCTCCATATAATGTATTTCAATGGGAACCAAAAGGTTCAAGGTCCAAATGAGAGTTTCAGTGCAAACTGCAAACTGTTCAAAGGGCTTTAAACGACACCAGACAATGAATAAGGGTCTTATCAAGCGAAACGATTGGTCATTTATAAAATAAAATAAAAATTAAGTTTTATAGGCACAAATGCTCGCCTTGCTCTGTTCTGTGATGAGCGTTCGTGACTCTCCTGTCAAAATGAACGAATCTTTTTTTGAGTCATGACTTGAAGGGTCCTACATAAGACTTTTAATCATTGTCTGGTTCATTTAAAGCCCTTTGAAGCTGCATTGAAACTCTCATTTGGACCTTGAACCATTTGGTTCCCATTGAAGTCCATTATATGGAGAAAATCCTGGAATGTTTTCATCAAAAACCTTAATTTGTTTTCGACCGAAGAAAGAAAGACATGGACATCTTGGATGACATTGGGGTGAGTAAATTATCAGCAAAAGTTTTTTTTGTTTTTTTTAAAGTGAACTACTCCTTTAATAAAAAAAGCATGATCAATCTAAAAAAACAGGATGTTTTTGTGCTAAATATGAGGAAAATATCCCTCTATAATCTTATTTTTAAAAGTTCACTGGCTACGGGATTCATAATGGTGATATGAGTGCATAAACTCACGGAGAACTATAAAAAATGCCCAGAGGGAGACTTCTTGAGACATTCGGATGGTATTTCTCTGTAACCACAACCACAAATGTTTCCCAAGACTGTCTTAAAATAAGCCTAATATCAGTTCAGTTTCGTATTCAGCACATACTTTTGTTGTAATGGTTGCTTTAATACAAACAAAAGCAAAAGCAAGACATCTCCTTTTGATTAAAGAAGTTGTAAAAAAAATACGACAACATCAATCATACCAATCCAAGGTTTATGAATACACATTGTGCACAGAGTGAATGCAAATGATATTTGAAACAAGCCTTTTGATCAATATGCAATCCTTATTTCATAGTTTGAGTAATGGTTTAACATAAGACAATCTGTTGATGTACACTGTCAATGTCAAATCTTCTGATTTAGCTTTTCCCTGATAACACTAAAGGCTCAAGAGGATATATCAAGAAATGCAATGCACGGAAAAGAATGACATGTTCCTTACTGATAATGTCAAAGGAAGGATATCAGTGCAGAATTGCTTGGTCTCAAAACGTAATGTTTCTTAATTACAGAAGAAAACATACCGTAATCATGCATAACCTTGCATAATTGTAGTCTCCATTAAGGTACTTATTGGTTATTGCTACCAAATGCCATGTATGTGTAACAAATGGCATGCATTAGAAACTGTTCATGCGAACCACTGATCCTGATCAATATATTCAAAAATAATTGCATATGGCAGCCAGCAGCACAATCTGAATCTGTGGAAACAGCATGACTGCCATCCAGTGGAAAACTGCAGGTTTATCAGCAGAACACGGACACCGCTGTCTTTGTTCTTCTGCCAAGAGCAGAACATATTCATAATAGAGTGGTGAAAACAAAGTTGTGATGAAATATTGATATTCTCTACCTCTATGATTTTTATATATATATATATATAAATACTGTGCAACATATTTATGCTGATAAATTTGAGATCCAACACTAATAGAAACTAATCATGCCTAATCAATTTATAAATAAAATGGTAATTTTAGTAAAAAAAAAAGTTTACTTTGTTTACACATACACATACTCACACTCACACCCACCCACACACACACACTCATACATCAACACTTTTATTTCACTTCTGGAATTACTGCACTATGTTGGTTTGTATGTCTGACTTTTAATTAAAAAAAATATATATAGGATATCAACAAAATAAAATAAAAAAAAGATACTTTTAGCTGTTCTAAATGTAAATATGTTGGAGTGTGGGCAATTTTATGACATTATTATTTAATAAAATAATAATTATTATTATTTACATTAATAATAATAATTTACATTATTATTATTATTATTATTAATGATAATAATATCACAAACATTTTAGTGTTTATAATAAGAAACATACACACACACACACACACACACACACACACACGCATATATATATATATATATATATATATATATACACACACACACATATATATATATACACACACACACACATACATATATATATATATATAAAACACACACACACACACACACACACACACACACATATATATATATATATATACACACACACACACACACACACACACACACACACACACACACACACACACACACACACACATTTAGACATATATAAACATATATAGTTATTAAACGTTTAAAAATAATTATACATTTAAATCAATAAATGTAGTACTGATGTCTTTAGTTATTACCTTTAGAAAACACTATTGTTATTAACCAGCTTCAATTCCTCCCTCAAGATGCCAGCTTAATGTATCCAATTTTTCAGCAGAAAAAGCTGGATAAAATATTCTGAATGCTCAATCTACAATTTGACTTGTGATGCAGCCTGGAATCATAATCACGTGTTGGTTTGGTTTGTTTTCTCAGAGGAGAACTGGTTCCTCGACTGAGCCTGGTTTCTCCAAGGTTTTTCCCTCTATTTATGTCATCTAAAAGAATTTGGTATCATTGCCACCATCGCCTTTGACTTGCTTATTTGGGCACACTTAATATTCAGCAATATTGTTGATCTGACTGCACTGACACTATTGAATGAGAAGGGACGATGACATCACTGTTTTCTCCAGAGCTGCTTAGCTGAATCGAACTCGTTCCATAACTTATACACTTTGCACAGTTCTTGAACCAAACTGAAGTACCGACACTAGAACTGTCTTTTTAGAGACAAAAAACTATTTGCATCATTGATCACTACTTTCCCGTATATCGCTCTAAAGCTGCTTTGAAACAATCTACTTGATTTGACTAATAGAAATTCTTTCAATCTTAGAAGTGAAGAACAAGTGATACAAAGGAGGAAAAATGTTTATTTGGCAACATACTTGACATTATTCTTCTAAAAGCAGTGGAAAACTACAATACAAATAGCAGTTTAGGTTAGGTGATATTTGTATAAAAGAGCCGTTATTTCAATGACTGATGAAATCGCAGGTTAAAAGCTCAGAGTGCTAAACAAACACTAAATAAAATGTGTCTCATGATCAGTCTGAAAATGCGGCAAAGTCATGATGCTTGTTGGCACGTTTTCACGCAGAATAAGAGCGAAAATGTAACAAGTATTACAAAAATATTTCAATAAAACACCAAAGTATAAAGGCAGATAAGTTCACAGAGGTTAGTGACTTGTAGTTAGGCATGAGGACTTCCTGAAAGACATACTTTTAAACCACCGGGTGGCGCTATTGATCCATGCTTCGCATTCTGTCCTCAGTACCACGTGTGCTTTTCAATGGCATCATTCAAAACAGGTTGTTAAAAATCACAGTACTGACCTTATCAACAAAAACATTTCTTGCTCTCTATACCATGATGGTGTCAGCAGGAATTGAAATAAAAATGGATAGATTTGAAAAATTAAAAATAAAAAACTGACAGAAATACGGTCATGTGCAGATGTGCACTAAAAAACTAAGAGATAACTTTACCAACTAAAAACTGTGGAAGGGAAAGATATTATAAAGTTAGTGTTGGGCGCATGTTGGCCAACTACATTTAATAAGGTCCTAAAGTGCCACAGTCATCTTTAACAAGTAGCCATATAGTGGTCATCGTTGTCCATTAAAAGGTACGTATCCCATTCTTAAATCTAGTTGTTTGAAATTAACTAAGCAAATAAAAGATTGTGATAAAGGCTTACTTCTCCAAGTACAAAACCTTACGCATCAAGTTATTTTAATAAAGAAAAAGCACTCTGATGGAGCTTCCCCGCAGAGTTGCAAGTAGATTTGGTGAGGAAAAGTCCATGTGTAGTTCAAAGTAAACAGCATCGCTCTTTGAAGCTCTTCTTATTCTTCTTATTTTTTCCCTTACCGTTTTTGTCCTTATTTTCTGACATCTTTTTAGCACGGACTTCCCTCATTAGATCAAAAAATACCTTTGGAAAAACAAAAGTTTCATTATTGCTCAGTATGACATGGTTGTATAAAAACAAAAATTATCAGTGCAAAAAAATATCATAAAATTAAATCATAAAAAAAAATAAGTTGTTGTTTCCCTTTGCAGCTCAAACCTCCCTCATTAGATAAAAAAAAAAAATTTATCACTATAATAAAATGTATAATTGTAAAATTGTTAAAAGGAGAACTCCGGTCAATTTTAACATTGAGCTTGTACATTTGGAGTGCTGTCAGTACAGACAAAACGACAAAAATTAGTGTTGCCTACACCATGTTATCATCTTTTTAAAATTCGCACCCTGTAGACTTCAATGGGGCATGTTCTAAAACTGCTTTTAGCCTCTTAACATCCTTGATTTGTCATTACGAGTGCACAGCCATGTGAGTGGTGTTATTAAGAGTGAACACGGTCAATCTGACTGCAGTAGATGTGAAAGATATTAATAAAAATTATGTTAATTCAGCCAGCTTACATACCTCTATTTGCTTCCTGTTTTCGGTGGAAGCCCACAGTAGTCGATTGTCGATCTCACGCGCGCGATCATTAGTGAATATCATCCCAAACCTCCTCCGTGTGTTCAACATATATTCTCAGATATTCTCAGAACACCACACAGTGTTGGGTTTGAGATCAACTCGACAATCGACTACTGTGGGCTTCGACCGAAAACAGGAGAAAAAGAGAAAGAGAAAGACTTGATGTACGTTTTGCTTGCTGAACAACAAGGACATGTTTCAATTGTGGCACTGCAATTATTATTGATGGTACACTTCCATCAGAGACTGCATTACACAGAAAATAATCCAAAATTGGATTCTGCTACATTTCAGTCCCTCCAGAAAAACGTGATTATGCGATCGCTGAATTCAATGCATTATCAGCCAAAGTCTGCATATTCACGCATTATTTCAAATACGCCGCACTTTCGCCGCATAAATTGCCAATTTCCGTGCAAACTATGCGGGGTTTTCATAATCCTCGCATTTTCGTTGCAAAAACGTCACATACATATCTTAGCAGAAAGTTGAAAATGTTGCGTTTGCTTCACACAAGAGCAGCGATTTCCCCCTGTTTCCATGGGAACGTTATGAAGTGACGCAATTACGCGACGAGATAGCTCACAGCTGAAGTTATTGCAGAGGCCGGACAGACTCACGGAGGCGATTGACATCTCACAAATCGATCTCGTATAACTGTCACATCGTTAGTTAATAAACAAAATAAGATAAAAGAAGTAGCAAACAAAAATTACCCGCACACATGGGGTGTTCGAGGCGCACATAATAATATAACACTGCAGAGAGTGCAAAAGGGAGCGTGCAGCTCTTAAAGGGACCACACCTTATTTACACTCGTTACTAGGGCTGGGTATTGACACAAATTTCACAATTCGATTCGATTTCGATTCACAAGCTTGCAATTCGATACGATTTCGAGTCCTATTCGATTAGATTCAATATTGATTATTTTGGATATCAGTTACAATAAATGGTAAATTTTCTTAAGGAAATCAAATCACTTAACTGTAAACTATGGGAGTCAGTTAGATACTAAGCTTCATTAGCCTAATATGAAGGTAATGAATTAACTGTTTTGTAGCTATACAAACACTTAAATTACACTTTTATTTATTTTTATAATCAGAAGATTATATGAAATTTAAACATTTAAATGGTGGCTGTCATAAAGACTTCATTCAAATATGCATTAAATATTGAAGAACATTAAGATTATAATGCATATGTAATATGGTGTATATATTTAGCAAAATGCTCAAGCAAAAAACTAACAAGTTTATGTGGGTTTTCTGAGGTAAATATGACGATACATGACATTGATTACAAGCTGTTTAACAGACGTCTTTCCACGGTTGAAACGCTGATTGAGCGAATCAATGTGACATGATACAGATTTCGATAAGTTGTACTCTATCTTTTAACACACTTTCAGATGCTCATTCATGTTTATTTCGCGCTGTGACTGGTATTATTAACCCGGAAAAGAGATCAGCGCTGCTGCTTCTCATCAGCTGCGCCAGAGCGATCTCACGCCACAGCGCCAAAAGGCTATTAATGTTTTTGACTTTCTAAAGAAAATGGATGTAACTTGAAAATTGAGACTTTGTTTCATATCAATAGTAAAAACGGACAAAGATTATTGCGATTTTTTGGATGCGCGCAGCTGCGATACAATTCATTCATTCATTCCATTCATTGAAATGAAACCGGAAGACTAATCGATTCTTGAGATTTAAGAATCAATATCGGTTCGTAAAAATGAGAATCGATTAATATCGACAAATCGATATTTATTACCCAGCCCTACTCGTTACAGTCTGAAATAAAACGAGATAAGAAATTAAATATTCCCAGCACTTTCTATGATGTAGTATGCTTGGTTATCAAAGGAAGTAATAAGAAATGACTCTTTACATTAAGGTAGTTGCCTAGTGAGAACAGGGTGTTGGTGAATCACTTTTTTTCTCTTTTTCATCAAACCACAGTTTTTGCAAGTTCCCACAATTTCATCACATAAAATTGCATAAATATCCCGCATATTCCATCACATTTTTAAAGAAAACGGGCCACATAATCAAGGATTGCCCGCAACAATCCCCCCCCCAAAAAAACTCGCGTTTTTCTGGAAGGACAGACATTTAGTAAACTGTAGCCGCCATCATATTTCTGCATTCGAGGCATCTATCATTTCGGAATACAGACTGGATGCATATAATCAAAAGCAAGAGTATGGTTATCAGTTATAAATGAATCATCTAAATTTGGAAAAAAAACAAGCAGAAAAATGACCTTGTCCACATTGGCTCTTGTCTTGGCAGAAGTCTCAACATACTGCACACCCCACTCTTCTGCTTTTCCTCTGGCCTCCGCCACTGAAACCTTCCTCCGATCCTCAAGGTCCGACTTATTTCCAATCAAAACCAGTGGAATCTTCTCCTCCTCAGCTTTAACCCGCAGGATCTGCTCCCTGCAAACACACACTGATACATTTAATGTTGAGTGCTCCACTTTTCTGACTATACAAGGCCACAATGGGAGATCCAATTTTCTGATTATACTAGCTTACAATTCAAGTAGCAAGAAGCGTGCAATACCACAGACCTGAACTCTACTGTGGCTGTGAAAGACTCGTGCTCGGTTATGGAGAACACCAACAGGAAACCCTCCCCGCTACGGAAATAATTGTCCCGGATGGCCGCGTAGTCTTCCTGCCCAGCTGTGTCCAAAATGTCAATCTGCACCTCTTCTCCATCCAACACCACTTTCTTCCTGTAGCTGTCGGCCTTTGTGGGCTCATAATCTTCAACAAACTAAAGGAGAAAAATGTCCAATATTACTGATAAAGTAAATAAACCATGGCAATGCAGAGAACAAGAGTATCTTGAAGGCTGCAACTAGGCATGTCAACGATTAATCGGCGATCGATTAATTGTCGTTAACACATTTAATCGATAAAACTTAAGCAGGATCATGCGCATGCGTGCTGCTCAACCACGAAACATGCAAGCGAGCACGCCGGTGTGGTGAAGTGTTGAGTACCAGTGACACACACCGAAGTTGTTTGGGACTATTTTACACCTTTATCATGACTATAAGTTTGCGCGTGCATTCGCAGCCTTTTGTTTTGTACAAATGTAAGTTATAATACTTTATTTTGTGCACGCCTATACAGTGTTGGGTAAGTTAAAAAAAGTTAATTACCTCTTCAAATTAGATTACTGTACTAATTACTCTCTATAAAAAGTATTTAATTACTAATTACTGTACTTTCAAAATCCCATTTCAATCTCAGCCAGCTGAATAATACAAGGACATGAATCTGTTTTAATTCTTTCAAATAAATACTATAAAATTGCATGAATGATTCTTAAACTGACCAAGGCGAAGAAGGTTACATTATAAAAACATACTTTTTAACATCAGACAATACATTTTGATGTTAAACCCACTATTGTTTTATGTCTGATCTCATGACATTTCACACTTTTTCATACATATTTTAGAATAATTCATACGAATTTGTACGAGTGCGGTCGTACGATTTAGACACCTCATAAAATGGATACGAATCGCTGTGAGATCGGATTGATCTATACACAGTATTTACCTCAATTACATCAGAAGTAACTGTAATTAAATTACAGATAAATGAAGAGTAATCCCTTACTTTACATTTTCAAGGGAAAAGTAATTAAATTACAGTAACTAATTACTTAGTAATTAGTTACACCCAACACTGCGCCTATATATATCTGGTTTATCTCATATTGGATGCGACGTGAAATTGACGTGATCTTTTGCGCGCTCAGCTCAAACGACAATGCACGACTAATGACGACTATTGAGACTGTTATGTTGTTTTATTACAATATTGTAATAAAACATTGTGAATTATTTGGGTTTAGATGCCATGTCGCGTTGTTCCAGGAAGAGCGAGTCCACCACATACGAGTCATTCTGAATGGCACGTAACTTAGTTTAAGTTCACTTGTGCATTCATTTCATTTTGTGTATATATGATTGTGTAATATTATATTTATTTTGTATATATCTGATTAATATCAAATAGGATGCATTTCTTTGAGTTAAATATAAGCTAACAAAGTGCTCAACGGTTATTCATTCAGTGCACGCCGCTAAAGCAGAATGCACGACTAATAATAACGATGGTTTATTTGGGACTGTCATATTACATAACATGAGAACACAATTTTATTAAATGGCTGTGAATTCATTGGGTTTAGTTGCCGTTTTCAGTGCGTTGTTCCAGCACGTCCACATCAGTCACACATTCTGACAAGCATACATCTCAGGCGGCGTTGGTGACACTTTGTATTTGTCATTATATTTATGTATGATATTTAATTTAGCAATCACATCAAAATATTTACCAATCCTACTAACCATGGGCGTCAGTTTGGTTTGAAATGTGCTGGGGACAGAGACGCATTCGGAAGGGCATTTTCAAAAGTGCTGGGAACTTTTTTTCTCTTTCGGGTAGGTCCAACACAGTCTCATGAAAATGCGCATCTATACCACGAATGTCATTTCTTGTGGCATTTATACGCCAAAAATGTTTTTTGCGTGCTTATGCTACGCACTAAAAAACCCTGGGGTAGGTTTAAGGGGGAGGGGGGTGGGGAGTTCGTGCGTATTATACGCCAAAAAGTGCGTATCATATGCACGCGAAAAACACATACCATATACATGCAAAAACTGTTTTTGGCGTATAAATGGCACGAGAAATGACATTCGTATATAGATACGATATAGATACGAACTTTCATGAGATCAGGCTCATGTTTTGAAAGACGATGTCCTGTAGCTTCCTGATGTACAAAATGTCCGAGTATAGCGAGTATATAGAGTATATACGCCCTTAATTGCATATGTACAGTGATGGTCCAGAGGTAGAATTTTTGTCTAACGTGTTGGGACTAGGGAGGTTCGAGGTTTTTTTGGTTCATCAAAACCAATAATATTTATCAGTGGTTGTATAGGTTTTAATGAGGGGAAAAAAAAATATACGCGAGCGGATTAGAACCCGTGAGAAACAGGGACACGTTTGTGTGCATTTTGATTTGTGATTTCACCGGAACGAATCTCCGCAACGGATTGAAGCGTGTTTCCGAGAGAAGACAACACATTTCAGTGCTAGATCGCCTGTTATTTAACAAACAAATGAAACGAATGCTGTTAACTGGAGATGTTTTATTTGTATTGGTACATCTGTGCCGCGAGATGTTTCAAAAGTGGTGGGGACAAAATCGACCCTGGCAAAAAGTGGTGGGGACATGTCCCACCCGTCCCCCCCGTAAATGACGCCTATGCTACTAACCCTTTATTTAGATTAAAAACCATTCTTATTAATTTGGTGAGGAACATAGCTTTTTAAGCAGCATTTGCAGACCCTGTAATGCTGTTTGCCATTAATGCTAACAATTAATTGATTAATCGATCGTGGGAATTTGTGAAAATTGACATCTCTAGTAGCAACACTTTTGTTTGGACACTTTTGGAGTAAGTAGAGTCTCCTGCATCTACCAGATGTTGTATAAAACATGGTCCATTGACTTACCTCATCATACATAAACTGAAGTGTGAGGGCGGACTTTCCTACGCCTCCACTGCCCACCATAATGACCTTGTGCAGGGCGAGGGAGCTCTGACCCCTACTCTTATTGGCTGCCATTTCTAATTGTCTCCCTCAGGTACACCACAAGACGCCCACAGACAAACTGGCACCACCTGTGGAAAAACAAAACTATTATGGAGAAGCTGAACCATCAACACAAGAACAGGTGTGCATTTAAACTTTCATTTGTAATTTTAAACATTTTAAACATTTGTTGGATTTTAAAAAAGGGTTCATTTATTTTTGGAGGCTTCCTCTTGTCACTCACATATCAAATTTACAAAACACCAACTCAGATTCGAAGGACAAGTTTACAATTGATTTGAAGTTTAGGCGTACATGCTTCTACATCCGTGTCATTCACCAATATGTTCCCTCTGATTTTAGGGATACGTTATGGGTAGGGTTATGTTTTCAGACAGGAATGTTGTTCCAGTATCAACTAAACAGGTTGTCTTAAGGGAAGCTCACACTACATGAGTTTTGGTTGGACATTGCCATCACAGACAGATTTCTAAGGTCTGCAACAAAACCCCATGGATTGCAGCTAAATCAGTGCTTGTTGCATCACCAATGCTTGTCAAGTAAGAGCCAGTCAGAGAAGTGATCTGACATCTGAGCGTGTCTCGAGCAGTCACAGGCGCTGCCATATTTTCAAACCTGTTTGTTATTACAACATGATAATGCGCAATCTCACTTGCCAACGCAACACCAGGGAAAACACCCATTTATGAAATTAAAATATTGTGGAAGGAAAGCCCTGGGTTTATTTTTATGAGCAGCACTGGTACTTTTCCCATCCACAAGATGAGCACAATAAACCACTTATGATGCATTACTTGAAAAGTACACACCATAAAAATAAGTAAAAACACATCAACAGAGTGATTCTTGTATAAATGGCACCTACGTGTACTGACGTCTTTCTGCGGAATCGTGTGGATGAAACAACAATCTGTATGTTCATTCATGTTTACTTAATGCTATAAATTAACTAGACGTTAGAGACGATTGGTTTATGAGCGACCTGTCACAACACCCTAAAGAGCCACAAAACAGCATTTATTGTTTAAATTCATTTTTTTTTAAATGACCAAATTTGAAAGTTGAGACCGTTTCATATTACAAGTAACCTGCTCTATCCTGTCTGTCAGTGTCCTTTTTGCTCCGCGATGTATTTTTCACCGCGTGAGAACATGATGTGTGGCGGCGTGTGAGAGTGGCATAGCTTGTCGGACATAATTAGCAACAGTAACTAATGGGGGCGGGTCTTATGCGAAAAGTCTATAAGTGATACTTATTAAATTGAGTTGTGTAATTTGCGCACTATTTTTATGTGGTGGATTTTCTTTGGAGAACCAAAGCTGATTAATGAGCATGATACTTAATTAAGCTTAATTAGGTCTGAAATGTAAACAGCCAATTTTGGCATCTTGTTATGATTCAGAATAATAAGAAGACCACAGAATGTTTCATACTAGTCTTCATGGGCAGAGGAAAGCGTAACATGACCCACTGCTTCCAGCTATTGTTCCTGGTGGTCCCAAAAAAACTAAACAAAAAACCCCCACTTCAATAGGAAACTAGGGCACCGGGCAGGAAGACGCAGGAATCTACTAACGAAGGCTTATTTAAAGCTGTCCATTTAAGATGCTTGTTGTGCCATTTAGTTATGTTGGGGATGGGCAATATCCCAAAAATAGCTTAAATAATAAAATTGTATAATATATTGTACACTACCATTCAAAATAGAGTCAAAACTAAGTCAGTAAGACACCACTGATGCATTTATTTGACCAATAAGATCATGCATATTATAATATATACCTCAAACATATACTGCTAATGTAAAATTTGTTGCAGAAAACAGTTATGCTCCTTCAAAATTCAAAATAACATTTATTCAAGATTTTTTTTTGTAACAATTAAAAAGTCTTTACTGTCACATGATTTAAATTTAATGTGTTTTGATTTTTTTTTTTTTTTTTTTTAAATCTTACCGACCCAAAACATTCAGTAATGCAACAAAAACAATGGTCAGTGGCAGCGTTGTGCCTGAACACGTTCAATGAACTAAATAGTTCATGATTGCGTTCATATTTTGGGCGAACGTGAATGTACTGTATTACTGCCTGATGAACGTTACTGTGAACTCGTTCATTCTGGTGTCTATGAACGTACGCTCTCTCAGTTTAACTTCGTACAATAGGGTGCCAGATTTCTATAGAGCCTTCCAGACGATGCTAAAACACATGCAAACAGGCCTTAATATGTAGCAAAAAACACCCAATCTGGCAACACTAGCCACCAGTGTCGCACTTAGAAACATAGCTAAAAAGTGTTAAAAAGATGGTACTGGTAAAATCCAAATATATGCACAATGCCAAAGTCATTGGCTTTACAGAAAATGCCAGTAAAACAGGGTTAAACAGGGGCTGGGCAAACTAAAATGATGGCAGATATGGATATGACCTAAATATGCATGCCTCTTTAGCTTCTGAAACATTAATGATGGCCCTGCTCCTCCTCCCCCAGCTAGAGGAGTTCATTAGGATTCCCTGAGTACTGTCCAGTCTGCTACACTCGTTCATCACCAAACCCCTGTGAGTACGGCCTGTGGAGCTGCCGTGCCACTAAAAGCGATGAGCGTTCTTCAGCTGTGTCGCCCAGTGAGCCTCTCTACAGCTAAGGGAGAAGCTCGGAGATCAATGATGGTTCTATTCCCACGCAGCACAGATTCTCTCATTTAAATGGATGCCAGTTTAGAAGGTCACTGATTTCATGCACAGGAGAGGTATGCCCTCTGCTTGAGTGGAGTGGCAAGCTGACCTATTCAGCTTCACCCTCTTTGATTGCAGGGCTGCTGGGGGCAATCATGGGACACGTCAGGAGCTCAAGCAAGGATAAAGAAGAGGCCAGAGCAAAGCAGAGCAGGTGACGGTGAATGGGTCAGGGCCAACAGTAGTTCATATGGCACACTTCATTCACTGATAAAGCAATCGAAGGGTAACTGTAACAAACTACAGAATATATACAAGCTAAATTATTACCCTTATTTTAAATGTATATTAAAAACCCTGGTATGATAAGTAACACAAAAAAATGTAATGTGTAATGTCTAGTGCAATAGTAGTTCACACTTGACTGATAACATTGCGGTATTGGGATACAGAAATTAGTTTGTGTAGTTCCCCCGATTGTACAGTCTTTTTTAAAAGGAAGTGATAGTTCCACTTAATTGTGATTGGCATTTTAACGGTGTTCCTAAAAAATCAGCACACAGCTTTTTTATGAAAACATTTGCCAAATACAAAAATGTACCTTAGATTGATGTTGCAAATCAAGACAATATTAAACTTTTGAGAGTTTTAACGTCTACTTTCAAAAACTTTGAGGTTGACCCTGACTCGGTGTATAATACTAAATTTGTCAAAATTAGTATGCAATTAATGAACATTACTGCTTAAGTGTCTTCAATGTCACAGGACCCTTCAGAAATCATTCTAATGTGCTGATTTGGTGCTCAAGAAACATTTGTTTTTATTATCATCAAGGTTAAAGAAAAAGTTTTTCTGCTTAATATTTTTTGTGGAAACCATGATGCTTTTTTTAGGATTCTTTGATGAACAGAAAATCCACACGCACAGTATTTATTTTATCTGAAATAAATATTTTTGTTACAATGTAAAAGTCTTTACTGCATGAAAAATTGCATGCATCCTTGGTCTGGCTTAATAAAAGCATTCATTTCTTATTCAAAATACTAACAGAGCACAAAATGATAAACGGTAGAGTAAAATGTTTAACACAGTAGATTTTAATATTATTATTTTTTTGAATGGTTGGCAGCCTCAATAAATACAGATTGTATACTTATGAAATGATCATGCTCAAAGCTGACATTAAACTCTGCTCATAAACTTGGGGTATTAAATGCAAGGTATCTCGATTACAGAGAATAAATATTTCAACAGCTAAAGAAGTTTAGCTTGAAGATGTCTTTCTGGAATTGATTTTACAAAATAATAACTATATAGTAGAGCCAGACCGATATATCGGCCGGCCGATATTAGGCATTTTCCATAATATCGGTATCGGCAGTTATAATGGCCGATAAATGAATATTTCAAAAATAAAATAAAAACGGATGAAACACGCTACAATCACCTCTCCTTGGCCTGTTATATTGAAAATGTATGTTTTACAATTTGCAGTATGATGTTATCTATTGCTAAATTATGGCTCATCATAGACTAGCTAACCACAAAGCAAGCTAATACCACCATCATCAGTGGAAGACCGCTAACGTTAACATTAATGAGCCTGGAAACCACAATGAACTTTTTCTGCCTAAATAAAGTAATGATTACTATAACTAGCATATCTCTAGTTACCGTTCCTGCATTGTAAAATGTAAGTCAGACTTGCGAGGAGTGAACATTTTTTAGACAGAGAAAAAGCATAGAGAAAAACATATCTTGTGCATAAAAGTTAGCTTTTCTTTTAGTAGCTTTTCTTCAAGTGTCCGCTGCAGACTGTCATTCTGTAATGGATTTAGAATCGCTAAATAGTAGGTTTTAGAAGGCAGCAACTGATGATTGAAAATGGTTTGATGTAGCTTGATGGAAAGAATTTAAAAAGTGCAGGTAAAGGGATAAGCAAGCTGACATTGTAATTATAAGGTAGCTACTAGCTTATAAGGCAATGTAGGGACTAACAATTATTTTATTTATCAGAACTTTAATATATTTTGATGTTCCTCTGTTCTGTTGTGACAATAAAAGAAACAAGTTTCTTTTTAAAATGCTTGATCATATTATTTTAGTTAAAACTCATAAATAACTACAAATAACTATGTTAGGGAAATCTGTTCTGAATTTGTTCTGAATTCTGAAGAAAAAAAAAAATATATATATATATATATATATATATATATATATATATATATATCGGAATATCGGATTTTAAAACCCAAAAATATTTGTATCGGTATCGGCCTTCAAAATCCTTTATTGATCGGGCTCTACTATATAGATCCTCTGACATGCTGTGTGAGAGGAAATATCAGACCTACAGGAAACCAGATGACTTTCTTCACCAAGCTAGGCTTGTATGGAA